TTGAGAGCATTTGCAGATGACTTAGTATTGACATTACAGGAGCCAGAATCTAGTACCAAAAGAGTTTTGGAACTGATTCAAGAATTTGGTCAGGTTGCAGGATTTAAACTGAATAAGTTAAAAACAAAGGTTTTAGAGAAAAATTTAACAGCGATTGAGAGAGAGAGGTTTCAGAATGAGACAGGTTTAACAGTGGTTAAGAAAGTGAAATACCTGGGGATTAACATGACAGCTAAAAATGGGAACTTATTTAAAGACAATTACGAAAAATGCTGGACTGAAGTGAAAAAAGATTTAGAAATTTGGTCAAATTTGAAGCTTTCACTACTAGGCCATATTGCTGCGATAAAAATGAATGTATTGCCTAGAATGTTGTTCTTGTTTCAAACATTGCAAGTTTTGGACAAAATGGATTGTTTCAAGAAGTGGCAGAGAGATATTTCTAGATTTGTCTGGCAGGGCAAGAAGCCTAGAATAAAATTTAAAATACTAACGGACGCAAAGGAAAGAGGTGGATTTGCCCTGCCAGACCTTAAACTTTATTATGAATCAGCAGCTTTTTGCTGGCTGAAAGAGTGGCTACTTCTTGAAAACACAGACATTTTGGATTTAGAAGGTTTTAATAATGTATTTGGATGGCATGCATATTTGTGGTATGACAAGGTCAAAGCACATAAAGCATTTAAAAATCATATTGTCAGGAAAGCATTGTTTAATGTCTGGATAAGATACAAGGACCTACTTGAAAATAAAACCCCAAGGTGGTTGTCACCGATGGAAGCGAAAGCTTTGAAAAAGCTCAATATGGAGGCCAAATGGCCGAAATATTGGGAAATTTTGGAACAAGAGGGAGATAAATTGAAATTGCAGAGTTTTGAAAAACTAAAAAATAAAGTGCGAGATTGGCTTCATTATTATCAGATAATGGAGGCATATAATTTGGATAAGAAAATTGGCTTCCAGGTGGAAAAATCAAAATTGGAAACAGAACTGTTAGATTCCAAAACTAAGACTTTGTCAAAGATGTATAACTTGCTGTTGAAATGGAATACTCAGGATGAAACGGTGAAATCTGCTATGATTAAATGGGCACAAGATGTTGGACATAACATAATGATGGCTGACTGGGAACAGTTATGGACCACAGGTATGAAGTTTACGGCATGTAATGCCTTAAGAGAGAATATTATGAAAATGATATACAGGTGGTACATGACACCAGTCAAGCTTGCAAAAATCTATCATTTGCCCGATAATAAATGTTGGAAATGTAAAGAAACTGAAGGTACATTCTTTCACCTTTGGTGGACGTGCCCAAGGATTAAGGCTTTCTGGGAGATGATCTATAATGAAATGAAAAAGGTATTTAAATATACCTTCCTGAAGAAACCAGAGGCCTTTCTCCTGGGCATAGTCGGCCAGTTGGTGCTAAAGAAGGACAGAACTTTCTTTATGTATGCTACAACAGCAGCAAGAATTCTTATTGCAAAGTACTGGAAGACACAAGATTTACCCACTCTGGAAGAATGGCAGATGAAGGTGATGGACTATATGGAACTGGCGGAAATGATGGGCAGAATCCGAGACCAGGGAGAAGAGTTGGTGGAAGAAGATTGGAAGAAATTTAAAGACTATCTACAGAAATACTGCAAAATTAATGAATGTTAGAATGATGTTGGATTGAAGTTAAATGGTTTTTAGCAGCAATGTTATAAAGGAATATGTAAAAGTGGATTGTTAACAGGTGATAATCTAAAGTTACAATATATTAAGATAAAAGATTAAGATAGAATTAAAGAGGGAAAGGATTTGCTGAATTAACTAATTTGAACTGGAATACAAAAAAGGGAGGTGTGAGGAGGTCGGGGAAACAAGCAAATGAAAGTTAAGATATGGAAAGACTAATCTGTTTTTTAACTGTTTTTATTTTGTACTTTCATTTTCTATTTTCCCCCCTCTTTTTTTCTTTCTTTTTTCGCTTATTTTTGTATTATGTTGAAACTTTAATAAATATCTTATAAAAAAGAAAAAAGAAACACCCTTGTAAGGTAAGCCACTATCTTTATCCCTCTATTGCTGATTATTGCATAGGTGAGATGAGATTCGAACCAGGGATTTCCCAGATCACAGTTTAGGCTCTCAGTCGTGACATTTATTTATTGTGTCATTTCATTGTTCTGCCCTGCACCCAGATGGCTATTCAGTGGAACAGGAAGCGAGTAATTTCCCCCACTTGTCTCATTACATATTGTATTCAAAGACTATATTCTAGACATCTGGAGCAACTTCATTTGGAGTCAGAACTGCACTATGAACCTGCTCATGGGCTTTTAGCCCTTGAAAGTGCTACACTGCTGTGACTGTTGCATGCTGGCCCACTTCTGCAGCTGCATTAGCCCTGTTTGAGTGTTCTGACTAGCCCGGTTACAATCACATGAGTGGGAGAGGGGGAATCACACTTCCTGTCCCCAGTTGTTCTGTCAAATCCTCAGTGCCCAGTCCACACATCTTAAACACATGTAAGTTTTGCAGCAGGGAGCTGCTCTGACTGTCAATATTTCCCACATGATCTAGAAAGATCAGACTATAGATAGATAGCAACATGGTTCCTCCATCAGTACTGCCTGTGTGCATATACATTCTTTGAGAAGGTCACATGAATGCATGGGAGGGCAGGGCACAATCACACACTCCTAAGTAAACATTGATGCAGCTATGTCATCTGTACAGGGCATCTTCTTCAGGCTAATTTAAATTAACAAAGATTCATCCATTACATTATAAAGCCCTGTGTGGATTCTCTGCATAGATCTGGTACAAGCTGTTCTGATCAGAGAGTTAATCAGACAGTAATTATTATGGTAACAGCAGCACCTGGTAGCCCCAGTTGAGACCAGTTCCTCAATCTGCTGCGTTCTGTGCAAACACAAATTGGCAGCTCTAATGCAGAGACCTTCCTATACAAATAAGCACAAGGCCTTTTGACTGTCCGCAACCTACACCATCCATAAAGTCTACCACAGTGCCATTTACCTTCCCTCCCCCATATTGCCATATTGTTGATTATAAATATAAAGCATGGTGATGATAATGTCCACAAGGGGAAAACTGAGGTAGAGAAGATTTACAGGATCTAACCAGGAGGATCTAGTGTGTGACACCACTTGGGTCACCGCATGGCAGGGTTTGGGCCATGTGAGGTTAGAAGAAAGGACAGGGAAATCAGAGAACAGGAAGAGAAAGTGAGAAACACAATGGTTGAAGCACCAGCAGTTGTTACCTGGTCCAAAACAGCAAGCAGTAGAGATGAGGTGAATTTCTGAGACTTGGGATATTGCACACTATACTTTTAAAGCACATTCAAAGCACCTTCTTTCCCTCAAAGAATCGGGTACTGTGGTTTATTCCCTCAGAAGTTACAATTCCCAGCAACCCTGAACATAGTACAATCTGTAGGATTCACGGGTGTCTTGTTTTTGCTGTTATCTGGTTTGCCTCAGACAGCAAAATGTATTGGGGTAGCCCTGGGTTCAGAACAAATGCCTCTTCACTTCCATGGCAGAAATCTGGGACTTTGAAGTTACATAGCATGCATGGAGTCCCAGCCCTGTCTTTGCAGCCCCTAACATGAATGTGGGGCTAAGAAGGGAATGTACAAGTGGAAAGTGGCTAGCAGGAGAGTGGTGTTTAAATCTCCCATCCCCACAATCCTGCTCCATAAGAAATTTTTTCCTCCTAGCCAGGCTTATTTCCAGGTTCCAGTCTCATATGGGGGGGGGGGAGAAGACAGGGAAGAGAGTTTGCAAGGGGGAGACTGGTGGACTGAGGCAATGTGTGTAGAGCAACACCTGCCTGCCTGCCTGCCAGCCGCTTCTCCCCTGCAAACAGACCTGTGCCGCTGTGCATCTGCCCTAGGCAGCAAACATGGGATTTTGGAATCCCCTCGAGGCATTATGAGGCCATTCTTTTCAGAAGGCACTTGAGGGAAACAATTAAACATAAAGGTATTCAGTAATTAACCGCAGCAAAAATGATGTTTGCAAAAATTTTCATTGAAGGAATGGCTGCCTAAAACATGGATTCTGATAAAGAGACAACAGTCAATGTTTAGAGGGCTTTTTGGAACTGAATGTTCCCCTTTCCATTGACTTTATGAAGAAAGGGTAGAGATCAATGAGTATGTAAGAGGTTTTCTACATTGCAAATAATTTTTATATACTTTGTTGTGATTACACTTTTTAATAAGTTTTTAATGAAGTTAAGAAAGAAAATAAAAACCTCCATTGGGCTTCACACTCAAACTGATTCTCTTTTTCCTGTTCTTCCTCTCACATGTTGCATTTTCTGATGACCAAACGCATAAATATCAAAGGGTGTCACACACTGTCCACTTCATTCATTGTGCATCTCCCACTGGTTTTAATGAGTAGGACTGCACATTAGATATCGTTATGCATTTCTCAATCTCTGAACACCATGATGTTTCATGGGTCCCAGCACATGCTGGCTCCTTTGGATTGAAGATCAATGCAGAATGATAGCATTTTGTGATCTAAAGTTGATTTACACCTATGGACAGGCTGAGCATATGATGTGGGGGGGCTTATACATTAGCAACAGATCCTGCCCTTTCAGGCAGTCTCTGTGACATTGCCTCCAGACATGGTAGAAGAGTGAGCAGAACAACATGCCTCCTTTCAGAAAGCCCTCTAGCTATTTCTGTGCCTCTTCTTGGCCATCTCTTTAGTTATGCAAAGGTCCAGTTTCTTAGCAAAAAGGTGAACTGTCCAGCTCAGCCTGCCAATCCAGTTTGACCTCTTAAACGTCCTCTCCCTCCCTGCAGAATCCAATCCTAAAACACGGACTGGAGAGTACCCCAAAATCCCATTTAATCTAAACTCAGTCTTATTAAAATATTAAAGTCCTTAGCCACTAAGCACCAGGCAAAACAAAAACAAAGCAAATAAGCAGTTGAAATAATGTCATTGAGGGTGATTACTGGCCTGTGGAACTGGAACAGCTCTGGCAGCAGACACTTCCAGACATACTAGATCACTTGCTGGTTGAAGCATTGATGGACTCCCGTGTTTTCCTGGTTTTCAACAGGCTAGAAAACAAATTAGTTCCTTTGTGAAACACAGCGGCTCTCTCTGCTTTGTGTTAGACTAAGTGCTTAGAAATATCTTGAAAGAAAAGGTGGCTAATGGCATCTACCTTGCTCTTTCAAAGTTGGCTCACCTTTAGCCCCTTTCAGCGATTTTCCTACCTCAGACAATGCAGGAGTCACTGCCTTTTGCAAATGTGAAAACAACCAATGATTTAAAGATGCAATTATTTTGCAGGGGGTGGGAGAGAGAGGTGGAGCAGAAAAAATTAATATGAATTAATTTGGGAAGCTGGCAAGATGTGAGAGCTGCCTTTAGCCCCACTAGATTTCACAAGGGGGAGCACTAGGGACTCAATGGAGGCTCCACTCTTCCTCACCTCATGGGGAGGAGTAGGCAGGAGAAGTAGCAGTGCATATGCTGGCCTTTGGCAGAACTTCCATACTCTCTTCTGTGAACATGCTCTCCTGCTAGGTAGCTTGGGCCATCATTACCACTTGCTCTGCTAGCTGACCGCCCTCTTCCTTTCTCACACACAAGAAGCTCAGAGCTTGGCCTGCCTCATCCCAGCAAGTCCTCTGCTCTCAAAATGCACTAGCCTAACAACCCTCTACTGTTGGCTCCTCTATAGGCCTTTACACCCTTCAAGTCAATGTCTGTTCACAGAAGCATTCTAGCAAACAATAGTCTAGTATGAGCATGTGGATCCAATCTGATAAGGCACACACACACACACACACACACTGCAAAAGTTGTGGGCAGTGGATTATCACAATTCTAGTTTTTAACTAAGCCTTAAGCAGCCAGAGGCAACCCCTCCATTGCTCACTTGCTAGGTGGCAAACAACACGCAGGCATATTGCACAACACATCTTACATTAGTGAATTAAATTGCTGGACAGGACAGTCCTGCCTTCCAGCAAGCTCCTGAACCATCACCTGACCTAATCACAATGGCCACATTCACACCATACATTTAAAGTACTATGATACCACTTTAAGCAGTCATGGGGTCCCCTCGAGAATTCTGGAAGCTGTAGTTTGTTAAGGGTGCTTCCCTTAGAAATCTAACGAGTGATTTAGCAATCAATCCCTCCTCACTGGAAACTGTCACTCTGGGAGGCCATGAAGCTGCCCTGCCCCAATCAATAAACAAACACGCCCCCTCCTCAACAAAAATATTGGCTATGTCCATGCTGAGAGGGGAAGAGGGGCTTCCTAACAACTCTCAGCACCAATTACAAACTACAGCTCTCAGAACTCTTTGGGGCAAGTCATGACTTTAAATGCATGATGAGAAAGTGGCCTTTTTCTTCCAGAGAACACAACTGTGCTCCTCTCCCAGTCACTCCCTGTGCATGGAGAGTGTGCTAAAAAAATACAAGGTCCTAAAAGTTGGATACTAGTACTACCAAGAGCAGGAAAAAAAGGTGTAGTGCTAATCCCTTCAGTGCCAGGGGACACTTGGGCCCACGGTCAACACTCTGGGGGCCACATGAAACCAGTGCTGCTGAAGTGGACATTACATATTTGGAGGAGGCCACCAAAAACATTTTGTGGGGGCTTTATGCATCCCATGGCCTGTAGGTCAGCCACCCTCAGGCGTAGGGCAGTGATGGTTGGAAGGGAAGAGTCAAAAGATCAATCCAATGGCTGATTGGAGAATCTGGCTAGGCCTTGGGCTATGTAATAATCCTTACACTTTCTCTCTTCCTACTCAGTGCTGTCCATTTCACTCTTCTAGGGGCATTGTCTTCATGTTTGCCTCCCATCCCATCATTGCTGTTCATAATTTACCTTCCCCGTCTGCACAAACTGCTTCTCTTAATTTGCCAACATGGGCGCTAATCGTGCATTTGTTCTGCCAAAGCTGGCTGTCTTTTGATCTGGGAAGCAGGGGGTGGGGGAGCAAAACACATGCAGGCTGCAAATGTCTGATGAGACGAGTAGCATACTGAAGCCTCTCCCCTCCCACACGCCCACAATAATCCATGTTCTGTAAATCATACAGGAATCGGAAAACAACAGCAAATCGCTCATGTCTTTGAATAAGCAAACCTCTCAGGACCAAGAGATTCAAATGACAGCCCCTTCTGGGCAAAAGGGAAAGCAAGAGTGGCGACTGACAAAGCATTGCCTTTACCTTGGCATTGTTGGGGTACAAAGGGACAGTGCTTTGTACACGCCTATAGTGGCAAGCCGCCCCCCACCCCACCCCTGCCAAAGCACTAAAGCTCTGGTTAGGGGTGGGGGAGGCTTGGGATTAGATTGAAATCTATTTGAAATCAATGGAAAAACCCCATTGACTTTAATGACCTTTGGATGAAGCACAAAGAGAAGATCAAGGCTGGCCAGTGTAAAGTCAGTAAACCCATATGGTGACTCTTCCAAGCTTTTAATGTCCCCGGCAACAGAGTCTGTGAACTTAAATCTCCTAAGGTAAGCTCTTGATCCAAAAATAACCTGCCTTACAATGCAAAGGTTTGATCCTGTAAGCCTTTTTCTGACATGAATAATGGCTTGTGGGATCTGACTCTAGAAAAAGGACACCAGGAATGGAGAATAATAGCATGCATCCCATGTGCATTTAAGTTTCAAATATGCCTTCGAATGTTTGCTTATCCTCTTTCAAGTTGCAAACGAGTGGTGGGAATATTTATAGACATACAGAGAGCTACTAGCAATCTGATCTGATGAAGCCAAAAAGATATGAACAGAGTTGTAGGAAGTAGATATCACAAAGTAGGAAAATGTAGCATTACAGGCCACCCCAATCTCTGCCAGGAGGTAGCAAGAGATTTCAGGGGTCTTGGCACTTAACCAGGTTTGTGTTCAAAGAAACACAAATGAGGCACAGCAGATATGAGTGCCTTTAAGAAATATGGTTTATTTTATACATATTTGCACCTGAAGCCTTCAGTGGTGGGGGTGCAGAACATCATGCCCCAGGAGTGTCTCTCATTGGCTTGCCTCATAGCTTCAGCAACTTGGGTCCAAAGCAGCAGCCAATCATGGCCCCCTGTCTCTCAGTGAAGCCTCTCCCAGCCAGTGTGCATGGAGCCAGGAAAATGGCCAGGGGCTAGTGGATGACTTCTAGAAAGAGGCAAATACAAAAAGGTAGTGACTGCCACATGTGAGGCAGCTGCCTTTCCTCAGCACCTGTATTGGGAACTAGGGGGGAAGGATGTGACTTACCCACCAGGAGGTAATGGAGAAACTAGGGAGACTGGGCATTGTTAAAGTGACAGTTGGGTTTGCACTGCATTTCTCTCCTTAATTGTTGTGAGAGTATGTGAGACACAGATTGTAAAGCAATTCAACACAGTGAAACAAAGAAGTGATGAAAAGTGGCTCTGGTAAATAATTCTTTTTTTATTTGCAGAAGTTGAGGTAAACTACTGTTGCACGGTCTCTTAATCTCCTATTCTCTATTCTGGACATGCCCTGTGATATTTTTTAAAGCAGCACATCTTAAGCTACATATTGCAGGTAGGAAAACAGATGCCCAGTCAGTGAAGTACATTTGAACAGGTCCCTGAAGACTTGCTAATGGAATAAATCACTCTGCCTTCCATAGAATATACTTTTAACACGTGGCTCTCAAGCTGCTTGGCCACTTAGTTAAAGCACTGTGATCCTATGATCAAGACTAAGGCAAAGGTAAAGGACCCCTGGATGGTTAAGTCCAGTCAAAGGCTACTACGGGGTTGCAGCGCTCATCTCGCTTTCAGGCTGGGGGAGCCAGCGTTTGTCCTCAGGCAGCTTTCCGGGTCATGTGGCTAGCATGACTAAACTGCTTCTGGTGCAACGGAACACCCTGATGGAAACCAGAGCTCCCGGAAACGCCATTTACCTTCCTGCCACAGCTGTACCTATTTATCTACTGCACTGGCATGCTTTCAAACTGCTAGGTTGACAGGAGCTGGGACAGAGCAACAGGAGCTCACTCTGTTGCGGGGATTCAAGCTGCCGACCTTCTGATTGGCAAGCCCAAGTTGTTTAGACCACAGTGCCACCCGTGTCCCTGATCAAGTCTAGAGTGCGGGGGAAGGGGCAGTCCATGCCTAATCATTTTCCTTAGCTCAGTGGAATGGGTAGTTCTCAGTTCATCTACACTTAAAGGCTAAGGGGAATCACTACGCATGGCATGAGAAGCTATTCCATAGAGCCTTCAATTGCTCCAGCACTGCGGGAACACAAATCTTTCCAGAATCTTTATGCCCATTGAACCCATCCTATAGTTACTGCTACATGCATTTCCCTGGCCTTGGACATTTAAGAGATCCAACAAGCTGATAGCCACTCCTTCTATGGACAGCTCTGTGCTCCTGGTGCCTTCATTATACACCTCTAGGTGCCAGGCAAAAACGTTCCTTTTTAACCAGGCCTTTAGTTGATTTGATTGGCACCCTATGCCCTTTTAAAATGTGGGGGTTTTTTGGGGGGAGGGGGGTTATTTGGTTGTTGTTTTTATTTTGATTATGTATTTTGTGGTTTTATATTTTGATTTTATTCTGTGAACTGCCCTGAGATCTCCAGGTATAGGGCGGTATATAAATACTAATAATAATAATAATAATAATAATAATAGGTATTCCAGTCATGCGTTAGATCCCACCAGGTCTCTGAAATACCAAGCACACCATAAGGTCATTCATGCATGAGAAACACCGTTTCCCCCCTGCTTATTTCTCCCAGTTCCTAACATGATCTATGCAACAATGTGCTCCCCTTTCCTTCCTTTCTTAATTTTGATCTGCATGATAACAGGGCTGTTAACCTTGCATTGCATAACTGCAGTCACTTGTTGCTTCTCAGCTTCAGCCAATCAACTGTGCAAGCCTTTCTCTTATATCTCTCAGTGCTGGGTACTCAAGAGAACAGATACCGCATCAACGCATATTGACAGTTCAATTTAAAAAATAAAAAAGGTTTCCACAGGGTGAGATTAAATAATTACAAAGGGCTTGGTGGGTGGGGCTTGCCTGAGAAATCTCTTCTCTTCCAGCACATATTAACTGCTTTACCTGCTTTTGGGGGCCTCAAAGGCTCAGGACAGACATGACAAGATGTTACATATCTTTTGTTTTATCCTGGCCACAACCAGATTCAGAAGCGGATGAGGCTGAAATCCACTTGCCTTATTACATGCAGGGAGCTCATAACAACTAGTATACCAAACACAACTGCACACTGCATCACACTGCCACACCCACCCATCCATGTCACCCTTAAAATGTGCCACTGTATAGACAGCATAGCTATCTTGCTTTTCCTATTTGTTTGGTTCTCAGTAATGTAAATTTCTTACCTCTAGGAACTTGGCCAATGCCCCTCTGTTTACGTAATAAAATGTGTGGGATTTTCATCAGAACATGGTGAGTGTACTTGACTCTGGGCATGCTGTGATTATATGCAGGTGCAGCAAAAGCACAAGATGTGGTATCAAGCATAAAATCAACTTCCCAAGAGCCCCAGCTTTTACTGAAGAAGAAGCAGGAAAAAAACTAGTTTATTTTAGTCCTCTTGTCTGCAAAGATAAACAAGAAAGTGGTAATGCCTAGTAAAATCTCAGAAAGCAGGCAAGGGCTGCTAAATAACATCAACAGTGGCCAAGGGCCACTTCCCCGTAACCAGCTGAAGCAGAACTGTTGTTGTTGTTGATGACGACGACGATGACTAAATTAAAACATAGGAAGTTGCCTTATGCCAGGCTTCATTGTTTGTCAATTTAGCCAGACATTGTCTATTCTGCCCCTAGCTCTATGGGGTCTCAGGTGGAGGTCTTCTTGCACATCACCTGCTGTCTGACCCTTTTAACTGAAGGTGCCAGGAAATGAACTCAGATCCTCTGCCCCTTTTGAAATCCTTACATTACTAGGGTAATCACAGACATTAGGTTTTTATTGATGCAGAATTTGAGTTGCCTCGACACAGAAAGTTGACCTTTTTCAGCACAGGGACACCAGCCTTGAGTATGCTCTCCAGAAATCTTCCCAATACACTATCTGATGTGTGTCCCTCTACTTAAAACATATTTAGATGGGGACCCTGCACCACAACATAATCAAGAGCATTATTCCTCAAGGTGCAAATCAGTGTCTTCATTGGCCACTGGCGTCTTGCACCCAAAAGTGCACAGTATCCTGAATGTTCTGTCCAGTGACTTCCACTTTTGAGAGCACCAAGTCACGCTTACAGAAGCCCACCCACCCCCAGATGTATGGGAAAGGCTCTATGAACACAGGATCCTAAAACACAGGGAAAGCAGAGGCAGAGTCAACAGGTGTGACCCAACTCATAATTCTTCACTTTTGGAACACAAGAAGATCCCTGCTAGATGAGGCCAAAGGTCCATCTGGTGCAGCATCTGCTGCTTCTAGTGGCAAACCAAACATATGTTTCCATAGCAAAAATGGAAACAACCCAGCCCAAATCAAAGTGAAGAAGCAAATTGTGAAACCAAGCAAGACAAAAAGCAAGAACATCACTACATCTTATGATAGCAAATTCCATAGTTTAACTATGTGCTATGCTCTTGTCTATCCTAAATCTTCCAAAAATTAACTTTTTTGGATGGCCGCAGATTCTATTATGAGAAAAGGAGAAAAGGCTCTCTCATACTCATTTTTCTCTTCATTATGCACAGCCTTATACACCTCCATCCTGCTGTTCCTCACTCACCTTTTTCCTAAAACCAAAAGCCCCAAGTGTTGAAACCTTTCTGCGTAGGGGAATTCCTCCAACCTCATTATCATTTTCTTTTCCCTCTTCTGAACCTTTTCCAGCTCTACACCATAGATTTATAAAGTGACATTATGATATTAGCAGTTTTATATTTAATCCTTTTCCTAATGATCCCTAATATGGATTTTTCCCTTTTCACTGCAGCCGTGCACTGGGTCAACATTTTCAACCACCTATCCATCACAACCCCAGTATCTCCTTCCTCGTCAATCACCACCATTCATAGGTTCACCAAATGCCTGAACAAAGACAGTGTAATGGTGGTTTTAGTCCTTGGGTTTGAAAGAACCCACGCCAGATGTTCTACTTAGCTGTGTTATCCAAGCGATCAGCTGAAGTTCTTTTGTTTTACTATACTGCCTTAGAAAACCTTAGCCTTTGCACTAGCGCCATGTTTTCTCCCTTTATTGGACTGCTATTGAATTCTCTATAATGTCAACATTTGCATCCATTTCAGATAAAGTCTAAGCTACTGGGAAGGGAAATTAATGGATCTATGAAATCCAGTATTTGGAACTGACTAAATAAATTTAACAGGAGCTGCAGACTGAGAGGAAAATTGAACCAGTTCCTCAGGTAGTATAAATTACAGCTGTATCATGTGCAAGTTTACCCAGGAGTAAGTCCCTCTGAAATAACAGGTCTTCCAAAAACAAAGCTGCAAAGCAATGCACACTTCCTGGAGAGCAAGACCTGTTTAACTCAGTGAAACATACTCCTTTAATTTTTTTTTATTAAATATTTCTTAGTTTACAAAAAATATGTGCATTGTCTCTTTTTTCAATTTGCTTTTTCTACAGATCAATTTCATTTGTTGTGATACATTAGTGTTACATACAGTGTTAGGTTAGAAAGAAAAGGGGGAAAGCGGTGGAGGGGAAATGGTGAGTGGGGTGGAGTCGGGTGGCAATGCTTCTATTCTTCTACTTAGTGTATGTGTGGGGTTTTGTGTCAGTGTCACTTGTGTGGGTTCTCTTACTATTTGCTTGTTTTATTTCTTTGGTGGCGAGAGAGGTTGGGGGTGGCCTAGGGTGTGGTTGGTTGACTTCAGTGGCGTAGCGTGGGGGGTGCAGGGGGCCGGCCGCACCGGGCGCAACATCTGGGGGGGCGCGCTCGCACTCGCAGCTCTCTGCCCCTACCTGGCTCACTCACTCTCTCTCACTGCAGTGCTGGCTGTGCGAATCCGATCTGAGCCGCTGGGTGGCCGCCCACTGTGGAGGGGGTGGGTGCCAGGCGTGCGGTGCGGAGAGAAAGCGAGGGACTATCTGGGGGAGGGACAGTGCAGCGGCCGCCCAGCGCAGTGCTGAGCGCAGGAGAGAACCACACCAGACCAGCCCAGGCAGCAGCAAGAAGAAGCTGGCAGCGGCGGCAGGTTAGGGGTTAGGGGGCGCAAATTACTTGCCTTGCCCCGGGTTAGGGGGCGCAAATTACTTGCCTTGCCCCGGGTGCTGACAACCCACGCTACGCCGCTGGTTGTCTTTGATTGGCTGTAGTGAAATTTGGTTTTGTGTGTGTGTTTTTGGATCAGGTTAGCCAGATTGATCCGTATGATGTTGGTGGATTCTTCTTGTTGTCATGTTGGGCTGTGTATGTTACAAAAGAAGAACCATACCAAGGTGAAGGCATCTTTTATTTGTCCCCGTGTCAAAATGAAACATACTTCTAAGGAAATGCACATAGGGTTGGGAAGCAGGTGTGCACAGAATTGCAGCCTTTAAGCTGAAGGCAACCATCAGCAGCTGAATCTGTGTGAAGAAAGGGGATTGTCTGAGTTAGTTAGGCGCTCAGTTGCCAGTGCCTCTTACAAAGATCTCCGCAGTTCTTGTATTGGCTGGGAGCGCAATTCATAGGGAATGGAGAAAGCAGAGTGGAATAAAGAAACGGGTGGGTTTATTAAGGAAATGTGCAAGGCAGGCAGACACTGATTATTCAGGATACTGACTGGAAAACAACCCTGAGGCTCTCTGGAGTGCCTTTCTTCAACCCCCAACCAACCAACACCCCCCCCCCCCAGTATGTTATAGTTCAAAGACTTAACACTAATGGACAGAAATGCCACAAATGTGTTTATATTTACTGTGAACGCTTTGGTAAGCAGGCAAGGCTCCCGCTTTCTCCTCAAAAGCAAGACAGAACTAGGCCGAACTGTGCATGTGGCCTAGTGGTTGCCTATCCTTTCACACGGAAAGAAAGAACTGAGGTTTTTGTGGGGTTTCTAGTGCTAAAAATGAGGGGGGAAGTATTCCACAAGCAAGAAAAATAAACAGAACAACTGCACGAAGCATTTGAAACCCAGCCTTCTCTTCTGAATAGCTATGGCTAACTCTCCTTATTTAACATTTCCGCTGCACCCAAGTTCAATCCAGTGCCTTTGCATTTCTATAAAAGAAAAAGAAAAACCTTTTAAGTGATGACGAAGCTCTTCTTGCTCATCAGGGTGCTGTGCCGTGCCCTTCCCCTCAGATCCTTTTCCTGAGAGGCCTGCTTCTTTCCTCCCATGCATAGTTAGCTATGTGGGCACCTAATGGCATAAATGACAACAGGTTCTCTACACGGGGAGGGAGGCAATGCTTAAAGCGGTATATTTTACTACCTGTGGGATTGGGGAAAGATTTCACTTGTCGGGTAATTGGCAATAGACACAAGCACCACTCAGAGAGCACCCAAGTGGGTGGGTGGAATTGTTCCAGTCAGTCGGTGCAATCTATTATTTAGAGAGAAGTATCAGAATATGCTAAACTAGCCTTCATAATTACTTCTTCTGTAGGTTCTCACGGGCCTCTTACCACAGAAGAGAAGGCTTCCTAAAATGTGACAGTATCTATTTATATGCTCCCCAAAACTAGATTAACACAGGCTACACACAAACCTATTAAATTCCACCCCCTTCTTTCGCTCTCCATGATCCCCTCCCCACAGAGGCTTATTGCTTTCCTTTGTGCTGTCCTCTCTATATTTACCAGCTTCTAGCCCCTGCTGAGCAAGTTGTTAGTCATTATTATCTTCCCCTCAGAATTCATATCTGATACGTTTGGAACAGTTCTTCCTGAGACGTATACTGTAAATTGTTTTTGTAGAAAATTATTTCCTGAGGACGAGAGGACTGCCATAGCACAGGAATACATTCTTATCCATGGGTTTCCCATACACAGAAGTCATTTGTCTATCTACAGTCTCTCTATTAAAACATCTAGAAAATGAATTCCCTTGGCGTGAGATGTAATTTCAAACGTCATATTAGCATGTCTAGATTTGACCCAGGGTAAAAATAAAAAATAAAAATGCCAGTTCTTCCATATTCCTATGCCGTTTTATAAAAAATCCTGTCGATAGGATAATTTATAGAAATAGATTTGCAAATTTGTCCCTGAAGTCTACCACATAAATGTGGTTTTCTGGGGGGCGGGGGAAGCATGAATTCCTTTACCAGCCATATTAAGTTGTTCTGAAAAATGAAAACATTTGTGGTCAGTTACTTCAGCTGGACTAACAGGGATGGTTGGTTGGTTTTGCTAACACTCTTCTATGATTTGGGTAAGTGCATCCTGTTGTGGGGAGCTCCTGCATATAAGCAATAAAAATAACTAGCAGATCATTTTCATGCATTTTATACATACTCTGCAGTTTTGGATGAGATCACCAAAATCATGGAATGCAATTTATTTGAGGTGGAAAGGACTTAAAGAAGAGCCCAGAATTTTAGAACAATGGATGTCCTTAGCAAGAGGAAAGCATTCTTATTAATCTAAGCAAGTAACCCATATGATAGTGGTATTTGGGGCAAGTTCTTATTCAAAACTGATAGTATTTTATGCCTCATTTTTCTTCATTTGAGAGCTACTCAAATTTCTGATTACTACAGGGCTATACTTTAATGGCTAAATGAATAATAAGAAAAAGACACAAGACTGGATACTTCTGTGAAAATCACAGGGCATTTTTTTTTGTTGAATATTGTATTTATTGAGTACTGTATTGTTTATATGTTTTGAAGGCTTGGAAATAAATTGTTATTATCATTTCTGTATTTTATTGGGTGTTACACAAAGGGTACAGGCTGTGTGATTGCACAATTGTCATTCCACCTCTGCCACATAATTCTTTTCTGTTCATAATTACAACTCTGCCTTTGTCAGCCCCCATAATAATTATACTGGTATAATTAGCTAGATTCTGTAAGAAATCTCATTCAGAATTGCTTATATTGTTTCATACCTAAGAAGGATTTTGTTCCCATTTCTGAAGATCTTTCAAAATTAATTCCCAGAAATAATGGATGGCTAGAGTTACAGGGCCTAGTGGAATAAAAGCTGGCTTTGATAAAAAAAGCATCTTTGTAGGATCAAAGTGTTTCTAAGAGGGTATTTCAATATAAGGATTCTTCTAAACTGGAAAAAAAACACTAAGCATTGATATTGGTTTGTGTTTCAGAGGGGGACAAACAACAATTCTTATTTAAAACACCCCCCTCCATGTGTATATGTTGTCTGCTGAATAGGTTGTAGCTTAAAATCTCATTGATTTCCATTGACTTTACATGCTTTTTGCACACTAGCAGGTAGGGAGAGGCTGCTGAACCATATATTTAAAAGATAAAAGGGGAACTATTATGACAATCTTTGACTGTGTACATATTGACAGCTTAACGTGCGGCAAGGTTGCTGTTGTTGTTTTTTCTTCTGCATTTCAAATCCTTCAGGCTCCTCTTACATTCCAAGTGTTTCCAAGTCACTTCGTTTGGCTTATGTTTTCAAATCAGATTGAATCTAGGTTTTTTATGCGTGTGTGTGTGTGTGTGCCTCAAAACGCAGTATTTTTCAAGAAACTACAGGCTAACGACATGTTCACAAACCAGCAGTGGAAACACACCAGATGCAGAGTAAACATGAGTGTGTACACAGCTCAAGTTGCTTTTATCTATGACGTATCCCAGTCGGTCCAATCCAAATGTTGAGTGCCTGAGACAGCAAATGAAATATTTTTTAACTGGCAGATTTCTCTATGTCAAGTGTATACTGTTTTTAATACATATACATATTCTCTCTCATTGGGGTTTTAATTTTTTCTGATATTTGCTTCCCTTCTAAACTCCTTTAATTCCTTTAATTTCCAGGTCTGATAATTTATGATCCTGTTGAAGTCCAGCATCCCTTGTATTTTCCTGCCAATTGACAGTATTTTTCTCTCAACTGTCACGTCCAAGTCTACGAGAGGTATCAATAATAAATAATGATTGAATCCAAGGAACACTTGTTGAGTGCTGCATGCCATCTGCTTATAAATTCCTCACTGGTTCTAAATTTCCCCCAGCTTTTTGTTAATTTGTATTCCTTGAGAGGAATATATTCAGATCTACTATGCTCCAGTAGAGTACCAGTACATAAATCTAATCTGGCTTTCTTTTTATGTAATTTTACAGACTCATTCCAGTCCTCTGTTGGGCTTGTAAGAAAAATGGATGTCTTTCTGCCGTAATTCCACAACTAGGCAGTTGAACAGAAACGAGATGTTTATTAGAACCAAACCCAGTTCTTGGGGGCCTATATATAGGGAGGTGGTGTTGTTTTTGGTTATTCTGGACTGAAGATGGGCATAATCAACATGGCCGTCTTTAGCAGTGCAGCGCTGGGGTGCAAATATCCGCCCAGCGCCCCCAAATTACCATGGATAGTGTTGGGGTGGCCATAGCTGCGCACTGCCAGTCATCCGGGGGGGGGGCTCTCCCCCATGCCGCTGCGGGAGAGTGATCCTCACAGAGGCTTGGGAGTGAAGTTGCGCCCCTCCCAAGCCTCCATGGGAGGAGAGCGCAGCTTCCCTCCCAAGCCTCCTCGGGAGGAGAGCGATCCCCGCAGAAGCTTGGGAGGGAAGCTGCATGCCCGCCAGCCTTATGGTTGGTGGGGCGTAGCTGGCTGGCATGCAGTGAAAGGGGAGGCCTCCAGCAAAGCTGCACAGCTCCCCCACTCGCTGGGGCACCCCTGAGGGGCCAGCACGTTGGTGCAATGCACCACTAAGTCCTATGGGAAAGACGGCTCTGATAATGAAGTCATATGAGTGCACCACCATGTAAGTAAACAAGTGTGTAATCAAGCAATGTATGTGCATGAGTGATTTGGACCTAAGAGTGCTTGTGGTGGTACGCATTAACTACAGATCTGTGACTGTGGTGATAATACAGTATAGTACTTGCTGCACCATCACGCTATTAATATCTGGACTGACAAAACAAGCAACCTCCTCCCACCTGCAAACTGACAAGAATCCCCAGAAATGGTTGTGTGAATCAGCTTTCCATGTGGGGGTATGAACTAGACAGAAATGATGGCTCTACACATCAGTTTCCTTTTAATTCTGTTGCTAATGTCGCTGCAGAAGGTGCTGGCTTCAGGAAAGCCAAGATCTCAGCAATAAGTATTTTTAGTTAAAATTGCTCCCAGAGAGACAATGATGCATTTTGCCCTAAGAGCAAAGGTGTGCAAACAGGGCTGTGCAACTAAGGAAAGAGAGACAGGTTAGCAGCCAGTCAGATAATAGGAAAAGAACAGCGAGGCAATGCAGCAGCAGAAATGATGTGCCTGCTGCCAAGGCAGTGGCGGCCATTAATGTTTTCAATGTTTTCAATGCGAGTCAATAGAAGATAGCAGTTAAGCATATCATAGACCTGTTTAAACAAGAAGCAGAACCAAGATGTAAAGCTTGGGTGTGGATGGGTGGGTATAAATGATAGAGATTGTAATTTAGAGCGAGGTATGTGTGTTCTCTCTTAAGGACCAGCAGATGGGCAGCTATATTGTCTTATAAAATAACTGTTTGCATGTAGAAAAATAGCACATCAGGGATAAGATTTTTGCCTAACCTTCTCCCTGACATGTTGTTTTCCTGTGTTCACTGGATGGGGTATTTGAGCATTCAAACACACAACCCATCCACCTACGGCCTGATTCTGCTGTGTGTATGGACTGGTCCAGACAGTAACTATAAGAAACCCTCTTGTGCTTTGGAACTAGGTAATCAATGACAGAAAATCCCACTTCACAGCTGCCTGTAATGTCATGTAATATATCAAGTATTACTATGATTTCAAGGCTAGTTGCATTCTGTCAGTCTGGAAACTTGTCAAGGGAATCAACTGAGCTGCTCTTCCTTCCCTGTAGTCTACCTTTCAGTGGTTCCGTAATGTGCTATAATTCTTGTATGTGTACAAGGATCAAGGGCCTCCATATCAGAAACAAGACCTTTAGTAAATGAGAACCCAAGATTGCTGAGTATGGCACCAGCCTGCACTGGCGGAGGAAGGGGGTGCGGGGGATGCGGTCCGCCCTGGATGTCATCCCTGAGGGGAGTTGACATCGCCGCCCAGCCCCCATAGGAGACTCACCGCGGGCAGCACCGCCCCCGTGGGACACACGCAGAGCCTCCCCCGTGGGGGCTTGGCCCGCCCCTGTGTGCACAGCATGTGCGCCGCTCCAGGTGCCAGATCAGCTAGCTCCGCCTCTGCCGGCTTGTGCAGCAGAAATGCCCTTTAGAAGCTGTGTGGGAGCCACTTCTCCATGAGCAGCTCCCATAAGACTGAATTTTTAAATGACTCAGCCATATGAAACCAGGGTCTTTCCTATAAACTAGCACCTTCAGTTTCGTGGGAATGGCCTATATGATTCCCACTACCATGTCGCTAGGTCTCCCACCCCAAATATTTTGATTGGCATTTTCATAAACTGCTGGGTCTCTTAAAGGCTGTTATTCAAGCATTCTCCCAGCTGCTCATTGACAAGAGGTTACTGTATGCCTTAGAGAACCTCCAAAGAACAGTACAACAGTAGCCCCTAAGGCAATCTCAAGTAGGACTCAAATTATGGGGGGGTGGGGAATAGGGGAGCTCTTAAAACCATTCACACCCTGTACCCCTCGATTCCTTCCAGTTTTAGCCAGATCATGCCTCCCCCCTCCCCGTTAGCCTTTTAAAATGGTTGTGAATGAGGCTTCACAACAGAGAATGGGCCCCAGCCCCCTCTGCCCCCCTCTGTAATTTGAGCACTGGCCAAATTGAGAAGGGTAGATGTGGGTAACTGAGGCTGCGGCATTCTGCTCATGAGGATTCTGTCTCAACTTGGAAGTGAGAAGTGAATGGCCCAGAAGAAGCAGAGAGAGGGAAGCTGGACAAGAGAGGCAAAATAAAACTGTAAGGTGCTGCTTGGAAAGAAAGTGTAAGGCAGGTGTGGGGAACCTGTGGCTCTCCAGATGTGACTGAACTACAACTCCCATCAGCCCCAGCAAGCATTGCCAATGGCCTAGGGTGATGAGAGTTGTAGTTCAGCAACACTGGAGGGCCTAAGATTCCCCACTCCTGAGGTAAGACTTTTTACTAATTAGAAATAGGAGCAACAAGTAGCACTGAAGGAGATTCTAGTTAAAGGCCTTATTATTTTGCCTTGATTGATATTTCATTTTCCCTAAACTCCCTCGTTCCGGGAGGTGTCAAGAATTATTCCCCTTTTGTTCCTGTCAGAGGGGAATGAAACACACTCCCAAGGACAGGGCTTTAATTGGGTTTTTCTGTGCGTTTCTTCAGGTTTCATTGTGTTGCTGTTCAGGCAAAGCAACAATTGAACAAACACCTGGGAAGCCAAACCTGACTGGAATGGAGAGGAGGGAAGGGAAGGTTTCAAGCGTTCCTGTCATGAAATCATCACGCTGCCTCCCCCATTTCCCAGACAGCCCAGGTGGAAAAAAGCCCTGGAGCCGCTCTGCTCCTTGGATGCTCTGCTCAGCCAGGTTTGAGTGGAGTATTTCTAAGTAGCAGGAGTGCTCAAGGGCATGATGTGCAGGGTTCCACTCAGTGCTCTCTCTCTCTCTCTCTCCCTCTTGCTCTCTCTCTCTTCCCACCCCCAACAGCTCATTATTTCTCCTCCTCCCAGGCAGCAAATGTTATTAAAATAACAGAAGGAGCCCAACTAGAATCATAAAGTGAATACTGGACTAGGAGCCACAATGGAAAAGGGAATTAAAGAGGCAGATAAAGGGTGACAAAACAGCGACAAAAGCTACTGGAGGTCAGGTGAACAGTAGCACCCTTTCACCCCATCCACTACTGGCCACGAGTCAAAAAAGCCAATGTGGTAGTGTTTCGAATGATGGACTAGTACCTGTGAGACCACAGTTCAAATCCCTACTCAGTTGCAAAACTGACTGGGTGATCCCGAACCAGTCACAATCTCCCAGCCTAACCTACCTCACAGGGTTGTTGTGAGGAGAAAAAGCCAAGGGGAAGAGAACTGTGTATGCCACCTTGAGTTCCTTGGACAAAATATGGTTTAGAAATGTATTAAGAAATAAACAATCCCCTCCAAGTAAAGTTGCCACTTTTTCTGACCTTACTTCCTGTGCCTTTAACCGTAGCTTCAGATGCAAAAAATATTCAATGACGCTTTACCTGGCGTGGGTGTCAGTTGATGGACATCTGCTTAATGTTCGCAGGCCAGGAGGAGCCAGTGTAAAAACCTGGCAACCAGAAGGAAGCCTGGCTGGCTAGGCCCTATGAAATCCTCTTGCAATAAAGATTTGACAGCCAATGCTGCACAGATGGCAATGAGACAGTGCCACTTAGATGGTTCCTAGGCTACAGCACAAGGCTCAACCAGTAGCTCCTCTCATACTCTCATCATAAAAAGGTCCCATAAAAAGGTAGGCAATAACAGCAGAGGACAAATTAGGATTGGTTTAAGATCCAGTCGGTGTGAAGCTGGTTTAAGAAACAATGCATCAAATGGTAGTATTTTAACAACAAAATAAAGGATACATATACATTTTAGATCAAAACCCCAGGTTTGGAAAGGCAGTGAGCACACAGTACAGTATAAGGAAGTGTGAACACAGCCTAGGCTTTGCTGCCTTGCAGATTGGATTGTCAAACTAAGCACTCCCCAACTCTATTTATCATCACTGAGTACAACCAGTTTGCTTATTCAAATAAGGTATATTTGATATGGGTATTTGGCAGAAATCTTCTCTTCCTGGTCCTCTTTGACCCATATCAGAAATCAGGAATAGCCAGTATCTGCCTTAGTCCTCCTTTCACCTGATAAGAATTGATAATTCCCACAACCACATTGAGGTGTTGAGAATGTAGGTTTAGTGGATCGGTGAAGAATTCAATGTATGATGCAGCTGTCGCATGATTGTTTCACCATGTCTTCACTTACAAAATCGTACATAACACGGTTCACATTATCCTTGTCATCACTTTCAGCAATGCCAGTTTTCTCCTTCTTTGTGCTCAAAGACTAAGTACACATTATACTTTAAAGCACATTCAGAGCACATTTCTCCCCCTCAAAGAATTCTGGGAACTGTAGTTTTTTCAGGGCTGTTGGGAATTGAAAACTTGTGAAGTATAAACTACAATGCCCTGAATTCTTTTTAAGGAAAATAATGTATTTGCAAGTGTGCTTTCAATATATGCTGTAGACACAGCATGAGACAGTCTGGGAACCCACCCTACATTTTACAAGGCCTTGTACATCACAAAACCCACAGCAGCTTCATATATTGATCTGTATTTATTATATTTATCCTCCATCCTGTCTGGCAAGATGAAGAAAGCTTGCAACCAAGTTCATCAATTGATCATCATATCTAACAATATCCTCATATGACTTGAGAAAACAAATGAAGGAAAAATAACAATAATTACAAGTGGAACCTACAACAAAAAGTTGCCACATGGAGTGCTTTTGTTCTGATCGCTCAATTCAGTTCCCCCTCCCTCTGGATGGTGCTATTTTGGTTACATAAGCAACAGCACTTACCTCTGAAAAGGAACAAGGAGGAATTATATCTGGTCCCCAAGTAGTCTGCTATCAGGTGGAGGAACTCAATTCCATATCGTAGAACAACACCTAGTGGAGGAGATTGCAGTGGCAACAGTTCATCTTGCCTGTTTATATACCTTTCCAGCTTACAGGTCATCTGGCAGTTTATGCCTCTGAATTACATTTCCCTCTCATACCAGGTAACCACTGGACAGCTCTACCAGTGCACTGCCAAGAGAGGACGCATGCTATGATGAAAAATATATGTGCTTGGGGCTCTATTGAACTAGGTGTCTTGATTTAGAATGAGGGCATGTAATGACTGGCAATATGAAGAAAAAGGGAGTAGTACAGATGATTAATATGGTGCCCAGTGATGAAAACTGTGATGGTTATAATGAGAGCAAAGTCATCAGTACATGGAAACACAAGGGAGGGGGTGCTTAAATGGGACTCAAATGCTAACAATTTTTTATAAATTAGAGACAGGGACTGAGATCAATTAGATCAACTTCAGCAAGAACATGCACAACATGATTTATGTGAGGAGAAATAACCATAAGCAGCACATGTATAAAATAGGATGCACTAGTGAGGCAGCCAGCCTGTAGAGATGGGAAGGGATGACAAATTGAAGTGCCCACAATGTGATGCACTCCCAAAAGCCTCAGGCGCCCCATTGGGCTGTATTCACAGGGAAGTCACGTGCGCAGCTAGATTGTTTCACTCCTGAGGAAGGAAGGACACAGTTGGAAGCCTTCATTTTTTTAGCACTGTTGTTCAAAAATGAGAAGAGATGAAAGAGGTCAGAGGACAGCAAGGAAAATCATAAAGGGTGTTTAGAGAGCTAAGCCCCCAGAGAAAAGGTTAAGGGAAACCAGTTTAATATTGGCCTTCTGGGAAAAAGGCAGCTGAGGAGATCCAGCTCATATAAAGAGATTGATTCCCACCAGCTGAGGACAGAATGAAAGCGGGGTGGGGAAGACAAAAAAGGAAACAACTGGCTGAAGCTGCGCTTGGGAACACTTAGGTTCAGTTACCAAAATATCAGAGCTTCATCTTGAGTTAAGTCGCAGTAGCCATTGCCAAGCATGGCCTAGGAACGCAGGAAGCTGCCTTCTATTTAGAGATCATTGGTCTATCTAGCTCAGGACGGTCTACACTGACTGGCAGCAGCTCTCCAGAATTTCACATGGGGTCACTCTCCCAGCCCTCCACCACTGAGCTATAGCCTAACAAAGTTGAGAGGAATGCTTGGCCAGTCCAAAGAGGCTTTCACGTAACACAGCATTTTAGACCAGCGTTGAAGCATCGCAAAGGGCAGGCAGGAGAAGGAGCCACGAAGGCCGGGGGTGAGGACCTTTTGATTTAGCCAGGCCTTTTAAGTAAATGGTGGGCTCTTACTGTTTCAGTGTGGTTTTTAATGTGAGCTGCAAATTGTTTTATTCCACTCAGGAGAAAGTGTTGTGACGTGTTTTTACATTTTTGTGGGTTTTAATTATTTGTATTTTAAACATTGTGGTCTGTACTTATTTTCGTAAATAAGTATTTATTGATGGGTGGCCATATACATTTAATAAATAATAATTCTACTTTGTTAATGGATGAGAAGATGGAAAGTCTGCTAAAGGCAGTGTGGGATACTTGCCCCCCACAGAGGTCTTTTTTATTGCACATTCATCGCAACTTGTGTTCAAGATGCTATCGGGGCAGCCGCATGCTATCCCACTTTGAATACTGTTTCCGCTTGCAAACATTTTGGGGCAGCCACTCTGCTAGTGCATATCCTGTAACTTGCCACTCCCAGAATGACACACACACAATTTTGTATGACTGTAGATGAAAGATGGCGACTAGAAAGCGGGAGGATCTGAACCAGTTCAGTTAAAGGTCTATCTGTCTCTTTTCTCATTCCAGCAGCTGCCAGGTGGCTGCTTGTTCACAGAGACTGATTTCTGGAAGAGATAAGCAATCTCATCTGGCATATGTTGTTTCATTTTTGTGCAAATCGCCAGGAACTTAACAGCAGTGCTTGTGTAAGAGTCCTGTTTAGCCAGTCACCCTATCATCAAATGCTGGTGGTTTACCCTTTTATGGAGAACACACACCTGTGGAATGTGCTGGTCTTTATTAGGGACTTAGATGTTTTTTACAGCATCTGAGGAGTTGTCCACAGCAGCTGTGAAGGCATATTTGCCATGGCATCATTGGAAGGATACCTTCGCTGTGTCAAAGTGACCTCACTGGAGGAAGTCCCAGAGATTTGTACCACAAAACTGACATCAGAGTCACCTGGGGGTGTTAAGGGATGAGGCCTGGCCTGAAATCTGAAACCACAATAATTGCCAATCACGATGAATCCAGATGATCAGCAGCTATGAATTATCCAGAGGGCAAACAGCAAAACTGGCAGCCATCTTGTAAGGTTTGCCTGTCTCAGGAGGCCAATTATTTGGATGTAATATACTGATTCACTTAGCTTTCAGTCTTCTGCAGGAAATGTCATTGGCTTTGTCCTCAAGGCTAGCTTCATATTGCTAAGAATATGACAACGGAAGGACACCATGGTAGCAGGGAGGCCTGGAAATAAAGATGAGGCAATGTGCAGGCGTGGCCATTGCAGCCTGACTCATCTTTATGCTCCTCATTCACAAGTAAGGTTGTTTCTTTTAGCTACCGATCTAAGTCACGCCACGCAAATAGCCAGCCCATATCTAGTGTAAATAATCAGAGCTGGAAAGGAAAAAGGCAAGCCAAACCCAAGTTCAGACTCGATTCATGCAAGGAACACCTGTTGGCATTTGAGAAATCGGGGGTGTTCTCCAACTATGCATTTTGGCATGGTCCCTTAAGCCAAAGCAGTTGCTCAGGTCAGGGGTGCCAATTTGAATAAAACATTGTGGGGGCCCAGGTAAGCTCCGCCCTGCATAACTGATCACATGACGCAGGGCACACACACCATATGAATGGGAATGCCCATCAACTTTGTGGGGGCCTGGTCCCCTCAAATATTTTATTGTGGGAGGCCGAAGCCCCTACAGTCCCTAGGAGTTGGCTCCTATGGCTCGGGTTCACTTTCCAGTCTCTTTGTGAGGTGTTAGTTATGCCCAGGCAAAAATAATAATAATAAATCAGAAGAAGCCTTGTCTTGGCTCTAATAAAGTTCTCAGCCCTGTTCCGCTGTGTTGTTGTTTTTTTTGTAAAATTATTGCATTTATAAATACGCGAGCATGTTCAGGCAAACAAAGTGAGAGATTGTCTCTGCCATTGGAAGGGTGCGGCGGCAAGGATGATTGATGCTGCCCTTGTAATTAAAATACATGCTGAGCTTTCAGTCATCACCAACACGATTCCTCAAGTGTTAAAGAATGTAACAAAGGCTGGCTTCTTTATCAGAAGATGGAAAGAGATGGCCATTGTTCCTGCAGATGCTCAGAAATCTTGGGAAGGATGGATCAGGGCATAACTGCCTGCTCACTCACCACATGGTGTTGTTCGCCATATGTGTTTATAGTATTTTTAGGCCACCTTTCAGGGCAGAATC